AGAAAGGGAGCTAAAAGACAGAGAGAGCAGTGATAGCATGTGCTCAATTACCCACACACACAAACAGGACCACCACTACACAGAGGAAAAGTCTAAGGCTACGAAAACTGTTATGAAACCACACAACAAGCCTGTTATAGAGCGGCGCACTCCAATCACAGTGAATGAAAAGACGGCCGTACTTAATCCAGCTCAGGAGTCTCTCAGGGCAACACTGAGGTAAACCAAATAGTCGATAAACTGTTATGTTGTGTCTGTGAGGCCTTGAAATGTCTCCATTGTTGCAAAATGGATTTCTTCACAAAATAACACACACACATTGAGTTTGCATGCTTTTTGTGGACATTAAAGGGCCCATATTATGCTATTTTCTGATCTATGTTATAATGTTGTTTACTTCTCACAAACATACCCAGAGTTACGTTTTGTTTCATTCACACATATTTAACACACGAATCCTGCATATTTATTTCTTCTCTCAATCAGAACACCTTGTGATGCCATGTCGTAAAACAAGATGTGACTCTGTGTTTTTAAACTCCGTACACCTTCACTAGAGAAGTTAGGGTAATGTCAGCCCTGGAATTGCCTATTATCCCTGTTGATCTAAAGGTAAAAGGTGGTAGCTGTAACTTGAAAACCCCCACTGCATCACAAAGTGGAACAGAGAATTTTAAGCTTTGGAGATGCAGTCAGACTAATAAACCAGGATAACTAAACATGTGTGATTGAAACAGTACACAACTTCGAATATGTTTTTGATGAGGTAACAATATTCTAACATGGCTAAAAGCTCAAGGGTCAATTTTGTTTAATATAGAACCTTTAGATCGACTTAGATTCATTGCCTGGAGACTGATCCTCAACATAACTTCACTACTTGCCTAACCTTAAACTAAACCCTAACCATAGCCTCATAATAAAGCATTTGCTGCATTTAAAACAAAACACCAGTAACACAACAAAATTAGAAGTTGCAAACACATTGTTAAATAGTTGCACTGGGATTGCATCAGAACATCCAACATAAAAGGTCATTCATCATAAAAACAGGCTTTTGTCCAACTTGTGTCTCATGAGAGAAGGTATTGGATTTGAGTTTCTATTGTTTAAGACCTACACAGTTATATTTATGGGGTCATAGTTGTTCTTAGGCGGTATAAGTTTTAGGATGTAGTTTTGTTTTAGAAATTAAATGGCCTATATTACACTATTTTCTGATCTATGTTATAATGATGTTTTCTCATCAAAAACATACCTGATGTTTTGTCATGTGGGAAAACAGGAAGTGCTCCACTGTCTTAACTAGAATCATTGGATTTGCATTCAGACCTGGGATTACCAGTCTCTACTGAAGTTAAGGTAAAAAGTAGCTGTTAATTTGAAAACTACCTCTTCATGACATCACAAGGTGTAACAGAGCATTTTGAGCTTTGGAGATGCAAACAGACTACTATAAAAGGTTACTCAAACATATGTGAATGAAAGAAAACACAACTCCAGGTATGTTTTTGATGAGGTAACAGCATTATAGCTTGGCTTAAAGCTCACAATATAATTTAACTTTAATGTACATCTCTTTACACAGAGATCCACATTTGCGGAGAGATTTGCTTTGACAGTGTACAAAAAGCAATAACTTTGCTCTCTTGTGGGTTTATACTGAAACAGGGCCATGGATATCTGAAAAATATTACTGCAGTATTTTTCATATTATATTTTTCTCATGGAGAGGAGAACACTGTAAACATATATTAAGTTAATCGGTTATCAGGTAAAAATAGTAAAAATCAGATGTCCATGAAAAAAGCCTTATTTTGCAATACTCTTGTCAGTAGTATTGACATCTCAAATAAGTATACAATATTGCAATTTAGATTCTAATTTATGTATCAATAAGCGTTTGGAGTGTCATCTGTGTGTGCGTTCAAAAGCTTGTAAAACTTACATTAAAACAAAACTTTAAAAATGGCAGACTTGCTCTTAAATCCAAAATACTATAATTCTCTGTGAATTTGCACAGTGCCTGTATAATTTTATGTGCATTTGTGCCACCAAAAAGAGCTCTCCTCCTCAATATTATTTTTACTACCACACAGAAACACACCATTTGGACACATGGGCCAAACAGTCTCTCTCAGCACTCCAAGACCATTAAAGAGAAAGACAGGAGGAGAAGAATGGAGGGGACCCAGCAGTGAGCTCTCTGGGCCCATTACAGCGTCATAGAGCAGGGCCACTACCAGGAGAATAGACTGCCCAAACAAGTGGATTAGGACTTTCTAACGAGGACAGGCAATACCTCTTGATGGATGACAGCCTTCATATTGTACTGGCGCGTAGAGGGTGGGTGTTCACGGGGGCTTCAGTCTGCGGGCATGTGTGCTTATTATTAGGCCAATGTGTGTATGTGTGAGATATGCACAATGTCTATGTCAGGGTTTTCAATGGTAATGTGTAAAATTGGTTATGTTCTTAGAGGATCATTTTATTAAGGCGTTTTGTTGTTTGGGGGCATGTGTACAGTAGATGTGAATGTAATTATGGTCAACTGTATACTTAAAACTTTAGGGGCAGTAATGGTCTGTCACAATAATTACTATATCAGCATATCATTCAATATATGAAAGCTGGAACAATTTTTTGGGGGGTGCATTTTCTTTGCAGTACTAGGAAACTGTGATTTTTTTGGCTATATAATTACAACTGCAAACTAAGTACTAAAGTGTATTACAATGTATATTATAATGTATATACAATATCGTACATTTAGAATAGTTTTTTGCGGTTTAAATCTGCTTTTGGGTTATTGTATGAGTGGAATAAATTAGTTTCATATTATAATTTATCGTCTATATTTACTTCACCAATCAAATTTCAAACTTTGTTATCATGACAAGCCTAGACAAAAAAGTACCAACCAAGTAATACTTGACAACATTTTTCCATTGCTCCAAATATTTCTCTGCACCTTGTTCCTATTTTTTTTCATTTTTTATTTTTTAACAAAGACAGGACCCAGATATTTTTAAATAGAACGCCAGTGTTCCTCCAGTATCGTTGACACATTCACTTGGTAGTACAATAGAGCCCAAAGCCCACAAGCATGGAAGTGTCGGCCGCTTGTGTAGTCAATGGGGCCCTTTTACAAGCTATTTAAGAGGATAAAAAGCATGTCCTTTTCAGCACGACACCGGTGTCACTGTGTTTCTAAGGCGCTGCAGGGCCATTTAGGAGCCGTGGCAGCACCGCCCGCCTTGATTAAAGCGCACAGTGCAGAAAGGAGAGAGGCAATGCTTGCTAAGTGAATATGGAAATGACCTCGTCGCTTGCTCCCACGCCAGCCCTCTCCAAACATTCACATGGGCCCTGTCCCCTTTATGAGGCTGCATTTCAGTAAACAGCTATATGTGCTCTCTGTGTTTAAAATACAACCTAAAGAGAGATGCTGCGTGAGTGTCAAAGGGGCAGAGGGGACAAATAAAAGTAAGTGGCAGATGCATGAGCACATAATGGATCCTATAGTCAAGGGTGTGTGAGCTGTGCCTCTTCAAGCTCTGATTAATTATTATACTGAAAGGGGTCCCTTACAGTGAGCATGGACTGGCCTCTATAGTTTGTCACATAAATTTTAAAAATAATTTTGCAAGCGGTCCAACGTAATAAAACATACACTAATATTATACCTGTATTACCTTTGGCGATTCACGTTCAGACTCTTGTCATACACTTTTGTATTCTGTACTGTAGGTGAACTCATTTGCATATGTGCTCTGTCACGTGCCATTGGCCCTCAAATGAATGTGTCCTGCCATTGAAAATTCCAGCAATTAACCCAACACAACATAGTTGTCATGCGGTAATTGACCTAATTGTTTGGCTTGTCAGCTCCCGTTCTACATATTAAGCATTAAATATGCTGGATGTCATTAATCAAAGGATGATCATTTTCCAGGAAACAGGAGAGTGCTGTGTCTTGTTCTTGTTTAGCCGTGTTAAAGAATCTGCAAGGTGCTCCAGCCCCACTGCCCTCTCTGCATTTTAATCACTTCAACATTTTACAGGCTTTAAGCCTTTAATAGCTTGTGAAAGCCCCTATTTTACAGCTCAACAACACTCCTCCAAATTACTCACAGCCTCCCTGTGTTATTTTTCAGACAAAGAGGGTTATTTGAAAACTGCATAAAATTGAAATTTGTTTTTCCCTGTGTAAACTGCAAATAGAAATCTGTTACTCCAACACTATGGTCACATTACTGTAAAGCTCCCATTTGAGTTGTAATGTGCGTTCCCTGGGCTCATGGTCTGTGCTGTTCATATATAGGTCCTTATGGATACGTGTATGCGTGTATGTGTGTGTGTGTGCATGCGCACGTGTGTGTGTGCTGCAGCAGATGGCTCAGGTCCAATTCACAGCTGATTCACGACTCAGGCGTATGTATTTAGAAGCAGATTGCCTCCAGGTTGCTATAAAAGGTGTCGAGCTGCCACTTTTATTGGATTTTTTAAGTGAGAAGATTACATCCTGTATATGTCTAATGGTCCCCCACTCGCCACTTATTCGGTTTCTTTTCTCTCTGGTCAGGTTTTGTATCAGGTGCAGTCACAGAGGAGGCACTGCTCTCTTATACTCTAGCCACACAGCCAGTGCATTAATAACAATAACAATAAAAAGGTAATCAAATCTGTAAAAACAATATGTACTTAATGTTGGCCCATGATCCACTGCTAAAAGCCCACCTCATCAAACTGCAAATTAGTCTCAGCTATAACTTTATTAGAGCGCGGCCCGGAGACGGCTCGCCATAAATAATTCAACTTCAGCGTCTGAGGAAGCTCTGAGATTTAATTCTAGTGAATGGAGAGTGGATGAACGCAGTGAAGGTCTGTTTGTGAATGCCTGGGAGGGAATGTTTCAGCCACTGTGTGTATGTGTTTGTGAAATTAGACAACCCCCAAAACCCAGCAGCCTCTATCCCCCTCTGTTCTCTCATTGGCAGACTGCGGCTTGTGCCTCCCCCGAGTAGAGTGGCTCCCACCAGGTAGTGCCATGGCAACGGGGCTCAGACATCTATCACCCCACTGAGATGGGAGGGCACCAGGAGAGGAACTGTGAGTAAGAAAATGGCATTTACGGAACAGTGCATTTTTGTACAAGATCAGAAGTACAGAGTACATACATTTAGGCCATTTAACCACTTAGTACATAACAAGAAAATCATTGAATTAATATTCTGATTTCTACTTATGAGAAATAACATAAACTGAAAACTTTGAAGATTCTTGCAAAATTTGCAGATATCGTGCTAGGTGTACTTTCTCATTTAACAGAACTACCACACATGTTACTTCATGTCAGTATTGTTTTAGGAACAGTACATTCATTCAAGTAAATTGAAATGAAACAACAATCTGAAATTTTACATTTTCTTCAAATTTGATTCACTCAATCAACATTTTCCACCAGAGACCAGTATAACTGTCAGTGAATGTCACTTAAAACAACTTTTGTTTGCTTATACTGGGGGCTAGAATACATTTTGTGTTACCTGCAGATGACATTTTATTAGCATGCACTGTCAGACAATGACAATACTATTCCATGTTTTTTTGCTTTTTGTAAATGTGTTCAAATCCCAGCACAGACAGGTTTGTTATGTGTCGACAGGTCAGAACAGATGGAAACTGTCTGCTTTCCATAAAATTGTCAGAGCTTTACCTGTGCCATATATCTTCATTAGCATAGTCTAGATAGGCATCGGGGGAAATGCCCCTCAATCTGATGTGAATACTCAAGTGTAGTGTATTAAGCTCAACACAGAGCAGAACATGTCATTTGAATTCATTGTGTGTGCTGAATTAAGCTATTAGTGTCATTTAGCTTTCTATAAGTCTACCATGCTTTGTACATTTGCTTTTGTTTCCACTGACAACAGAAAACCTGGGTATTGTTGTGCAGCGTATCACTAGGCAGAGATAGACATTTATCTGGGTACTTTGTTTACTGAAATTGAGAAGCAGTAGGGGCAAGAAGGTCCTATGAGGAGTGAAGGAGGGAGGTGGCACAAGGCGAGCTCTAAGTCTCACTTGTAATTGAGGAGTGGAATGAGAAAAGGTTCAGAGGAGAGAGGGGAAAGAGAGGGGAGAGAGGGCGCTGGGGAAATATGCAGTGGTGCTACGTGGGGTCCAGAGGAGCAGACCATTGATAAGTAAAGGAGCTGTACTCTGGAAAAGTTACTACTGCTGTTCCCTTGACCTTAAAGAGATGCATCAGGAGGTCAAACATGAAATCTAAGCTTGTTCCTCATACAGTACTGGAAGGTGCGTTAACACCTGAGGTCCCCAGCATAATTATTACTGTTTCTGAATGAAAAAATAACTACATATTTTTATTCACTCTGCAGCTCATTAAATAATCACACAACAGGATTCTTTACAACTCATTTCAACAGTGCTATAAAACAATTTAGAAGTAGAAGTGAGTTGAAAGAATATAGCTCAGTTCAAATGGGATATGTCTGAGTTACAGTTTTATGCTTATATTAGGTATTAGATAGAGTAGGATATTGTACCGTCAGAAGTCTCACAAATTAAAATTACAAGCCTCTTTGCATTATTTTGTTGGAGTAATAGCTAAAAATGGGGCATTTACTAAGATCATTTGCTGTTTCAGTGCAGACAACCTGAAGAAGTAACTGTTTTATTAACCACTTCTACTTCTTTTATATGACAGTAAAGGCTTGTCAAGGCAAAAAATAAAATTTCAATTACACATATGTTAACCTTTCCACAATATTGCAATTAGCATTGAACCTTGAGATGCATATTCATATGCATCATATATGATATTGTAGCATTACATTTGGCCATTGTTACATCCATTATAATAGGCAGAGTAGCACGTAGAAGAATACACCTAAAGTTAAATTTTGAGAACTTGTCAACTTCAAACATCAAGGTGTGAGGTCGTGAATTGCCTTGGGGCTGAGGGTCATGTCCTCACAAACACAGAAAGACAGCACTCATTGCTTGTGTTAAAGGTGAGGTCGGAGTGCACGTGATGTAGCAGCAATGCAATATCTGTGGCAATATTGGTGCCCTAGAGGGGGCTGGAGTTACCGCGACGCAAGACTGTTTCTCCACACACTGCTCTACAGTAGGCTACATATGAAAGTGTATTGTACTATATATGTGTAGTGCTGCAGTCAGTCCCAATGGCATTCTTAATTGACCAGACAGAACCACCCACTTTGAAAAAATTTACAAAAACTAATGGATCTGAACCCGCATCCTGTTCCCATGATTTCAGAATGTGTGACTGACAGGCAGATTAACCAAGCCATTAGCATCAAAAAGGAAAAAAAGGAGAGAAATCAACATAAAGGACTGAGACACAGGGTAGATTTTTACAGAATCAACAATCAAAACACCACACTCAGCTCAGTTTGGACAGAGGATTTTATTTTCTCGCTCTATTGTCTGGTTCCAGACCCATGTGGATTTGAACAGAATGTAAAAGGCACTGGCTGGTCAGGCAAGCAGTGTACAGTTTGTGTGCTGTGCTGCAATCAGTCCCAGTGACATTCTAGCTGGCTTGCCTGGTTTCACCCCCCCCCACTGTCCCTCCTCCTCCCCACCTCTGCACCCCCTTCGCCCCGTGGCCCACTGACTCCCAGCGTGCATGCGACAGGGCAAGCGATAAGGCCAATATTACTGTGGGATAAGAACTGAATTAGCTTCCCGCTGTGAAAAACGGCCACCACAAGCTGAGCCAGGGGTGTTTGTGTGCTCAGTGCGAGAGAGGGAGTGGTCATTCACATAATACTGTATTAGATCACACACTGGAAAATGGCTTCACAGGGTTTATATGATATGGCCACGTAATGTCCCCTACCACTGTTTTCTCTCCACTTTTATTTTATTTGAGTTTCCATTTATGGTCTGCTGTGTTTTGTTTTTCTACAAGTCGGGTTATATTTTTGTAGTAAACATTCCAACGTCGGAGTAATGCTTCCTCAGTGTACAAAGAGTTTTATTGCAATAGCAGCAATAATATCTGTGAGAAGCAAGTTATGTTTTGCTATACTTTTCACATCATTTTCTAAACTGGAGTGTAGTAAATATATTTTAGAAATCTTAACATAAAGTTACAATTTGGAAATATGGTAGGCTTTCTGGTTAGAAGATAAAAAATACAACTCCAGCGCTATGCCCACTGGTAAAACTGCAGGCTTTCTAGCACAATTCCTGGCCTGTCACAACTATATCAACTTACCATTTTGTAAATGATAGCTTTCTTTTTGTTTTGGTAAATGAGGAATTTTTGTCATTTTTCTCTATTACAATTAGATTTAAGCTTAAATTGGATAAATAAATAAAGGATTTAATGAGGATTATTAATCCTCATTATCAGGTTATTTTCTTACTATTGCTTTTGTTATCTCTCGATTCAGTTTTTCTATGTCTGAAATAAACAACAAACTAACAAATGAACAAACAATTCATGGTTTATTTTACGATAAAATATTTTGGGGGGATAATCTATCTTTAATGCGTCAGTGCCATAGATTATTGTCAATATTATTGTTCATCGTCTATATGTTCTTAAAGGTGCATTGTGTAACCTTTCTGGTGGAGGGTCTGTCAAATGCTTTTTTCATGCAGTTGTTATTATTCTGTCTGGAATGTTTCACAGTTTGAGACCCCTAGACTTGAGGGTAACTTCTAAATTCTAAATATTATTATATGGACACATACAACCCATTCATCACCAGTGATGTCAAAATGAAGTAGCGTCACCAAAATGTGGTTATTTTAAAGCCAATGGTAGGAAGAGCAACTGACGCACCACTACTAGAAAAAAAAAAAGAAACATTAGCAATATGTATACTTCGTAAAATGTTTACTGTACACACATATAACACTCATATTACCTCTATACATCAGAGGATGATGCCCACCTCTACGATGAGGACTTCAACCTGGAGGTGCCGCTCCTCCCCACACCATCAGAAGCCAGCGGAGATCCCAACTGGTGTCTCCCAGCATCCAGGATTCCTCAAACCCTGAGGAAAGAAGTCTGGTCCAGAAACTTACACCCCTGGAGGACAGCGCTATGATCAGGTCTCTGGTCAATATTCCAAAGAGTTGGAGTGAAAAAAGGCCAAGCTTTCAGATCAGGTCCAAAGGAGCTTTGTTTTGGAATACAAACTTTTAGAGTGTAAGTTGAGGAGAAGATGGGCAAAGAAAAGGCCTTGGAGTTCACGTCTGAACTTCAAAAGAAGAACAAAGAACTTCAAGGCCTATTACACATAAAGTGCTCCGATACCTGTATGATTATACAAATCAGAAAAATGTGCAACTAAAACAAGAGCTTTCCAACTCCAAAGAAGTCACGGAAAAGGAAAATGGAATAGACTTGGAGTTGCAGAAACTCACTAGTACTCTTCAGGAGAAGGAAAAACAACTACAGGAAGAAGTTAACGAACATAAGGGGTTATGGTGCCTGTATAATTCTATAATACAAGAAAATGTGCAACTGAAACAAGAGATGTATTGTACCAAAATAATATAATACATAATATAATAAATAATAAAAAAGAATCAAAAGATAAAATTGGGAGAGAGAGAGAGAGAGAGAAATGCATGATAGTTTGGTGGTCATATATGGCCAACACTGATTTTACACCTTTGGCTCCTACTCCAATTGAGTTTGAGATCTCTAGTCTAAATTTATCATCATGGAGACCAAACCAGACTGAGTTACAGGTCAGATCTGTGGAAAGACAACCCCACTCATGGTCAGAATGCATTGCCTGTTTTTCTTGGTATTTTTGAGCTATACAACCACCAGTAATTTAATAAATGTAAGGCAGAGCTGTTTAATATCATACTGTGAAACATTCCAGGCACAGCAATGACATATCCATTGAAACAAGCAGGTTACAGACCTCCAAACAAAAGGTTACATAGCATACCTTTAAGCAATATATCACAATTAAAAATCTGTTACAATGACATGGCCTACAGGTGAGATGAAAAAAACATGTCAGCCAATCCATCAGAGAGGCGTGTTCACAATA